GGTTTTCCTTTTTTAAATAATTAATAGGCTTAACTTTTATGGTCTAGTTTTAGAGTTACAGAATAACCGCAGGGCTACAGAATAACTGAGCCGGTGCTATGTAGAGTTCCATATATCCATATCACCCCAAACATCTTGCATTAGTGTTGGTACATTGGTTACAATTAGTGCACTGGTCGGGATACGTTATTATTGACAATAGTCCATAGTGTATATTAAGGTTTCGTTTTTGTGTTGGACTATTCTGGGTATTTTGACAAATACCCAGGATTTTGTTGTTTTGTTTTTGTTTTGTTTGTTTGTTTGTTTATCAGGATGGTGCAGTGTAGGATGAGGCTGTTTCTAGCCCGCCTAGGCCACCTCTCTGCTTAGTCAAAGCACCATGATTTGCTTCAGTTTCCCATTCCAGTGTTTTTGGAAAAATCACCAGGGCTCCAGGCCGGTGGCACGGAGGGGAAACTGAGGAGTAGGCTGGGGAAAAGAACCTTCTCTCTGAGGACAAGAAGTCAGCTTCTGGGTTTGGATTTCCCAAGGGTGAAGCAGCCCCTAAATTCAATGGTGATGGTTCCTGGGGATGGGGCAGGTCCGACAGTTTTTGGAGTGGTCCCTAACACATTGCTAACAGCCTACCCCCTAGCTGGGTGTGCCAGGGAGGCCTGCCCTGGTGCAGTCGAGCCCACGGCGCCTCTCTCTACAGTTCAGATCACACCGCCACCCTGCCCATCGGAGGCCTCAGCTATGTCCACGGCTGCACCAAATCGCGTCTTATCAACAAGACCGTGGGGCATTGCCTGAATGCCACAGCACAGAGGTTCCCGGACCGAGAGGCCTTGGTCATCTTCCATGAAAATATCAGGTTGACATTTGCCCAGCTCAAGGAGGAGGTGGGTCCTGACCTTGACTCCTCAAAGTGGGCAGGTGCTAGCCCCCAGGCTGTCCTGGCTGGGTGGACCCACAAGAGCAGCACCTGACTGTGGAGCAGGGTGCTGGGGCTTCCAGAGAACCCCAAGGGATGTCAGGGATGGGGATAGGGCTGAGGCAGAGGTGGCCCAGATGCCTCCTACATCAGTCGCTCCCGGGGCACTTGTTAACTCTGCATATTCCAAGCCCCATTCCAGAGCCACTGAGGCCTGTCCCTTGTTCCCAGGTGGTTCTAACGTGAACCCCTGGACCAAGGGCTGACATAGAAGTCATAACCCCTTCCTGCTTGCCCACATCTTACCCCTTGTGTCCTGTATGTTTATACCAGGTGGACAAAGCTGCTTCTGGGCTCCTGAGTATTGGCCTCTGCAGGGGTGACCGGCTGGGCATGTGGGGTCCCAACTCCTATGCGTGGGTGCTCATGCAGCTGGCCACAGCCCAAGCGGGCATCATTCTGGTGAGGAGAGGAGGGGCTTGCCTGGCACAGTTGCGTATGTGGGAGGAGGCGCGGAGGGGGGACATTCTGGGGAAGCCCCCTGGCTCCTTGGTCCCAGAATGAAACCTATGTCTGGCTGGTTTCAGACCAGGTAGTGTTTTCTCCTGAGGCCACCAAGGAGGTCTGGAGGGGCAGGGTGCTGCCTCTGTCTACACTGTGTTTCTGTGCCTCCTGCGGGTGGAGGGGCAGTAAGGACAGGGACTGCCCAGGACACTGACATACCCTTGCTGTCTCTACCAGGTGTCTGTGAACCCAGCCTACCAGGCTATGGAGCTGGAGTATGTCCTCCAGAAGGTAGGACCCATTCCAGGGGGTGGGGCCATGTGGGTACCTGGCACAAGGGACTTCTGGTTGTCAGAGAGGGCTGATGGGGTGGGGAGGGCATGTATAGTCTGTCATTCTTTAGGCTGTGGGTGGGTAGGAGGAGGGGGTGGTTGGGCAGATACAAGGCTGGTATATGTATTGGGGGTGATGCATGCATTCATCACAGAGATAGTGTGTGAGTAAGCTGGTACGTGTGTGTGTTAGAGGGTGGTGCATGTGCATGTCAGAGTAGTGGTGCATGTGTATAAGAGAGAGCAGCTGTTAGTGTGGGCTCCACAAGATACGCAGTCTGGGGTTTCCTGCTGACTGTGGGAGGGGGTCCCCTTCCACAGGTGGGCTGCAAAGCCCTCGTGTTCCCCAAGCAATTCAAGACCCAGCAATACTACAACATCCTGAAGCAGATCTGTCCAGAAGTGGAGAAGGCCCAGCCGGGGGCATTGAAGAGTCAGAGGTGGGGATGTCCTGGGTTGGGAAGGGCACATCGTGTGGCATCCTGGCCCCCTCATCCCCTACCCACCTCCAGGGAGAAAGATGGTGTCTCCTTGGGCTCTACCTCAGCCCCTGACTCGCACCATTGTCTCTACCCCCAGGCTCCCAGATCTGACCACAGTCATCTCGGTGGATACCCCTCTGCCGGGAACACTGCTCCTTGATGAGGTGGTGGCAGCTGGCAGCAGAGAGCAGCATCTGGCCCAGCTCCAGTACACCCAGCAGTTCCTGTCCTGCCATGACCCTGTCAACATCCAGTTCACCTCGGTAGGGCAGAGTTCTCCAGGCCCCAAGCCCAGGCTAGCATGCTAATCCCTGCCTGCCCCTGTGACCCTTCCCTGAGAATGAGAACACAGGAGGTCAGGAGTGCAAACACTCTTCTCCTGGAGGGATGGCCCTAGATATCCTCTCTGCCCTGGTAAACATTAGCAACTGGTGTCCTTGTCACATGCCTCCCCTCCCCCAGCCCTCTGGTCCCCAGCACAGGGGCAGATGTACTGTGTCACCACTGGTCAGAGCTAGTAGAGCCTGCCCCCCGCCTCATATAGCAGATAAGGAAATTGAGGCCCAGACGGGGAATCTGCTGTTGGACCACAGAGTTCGCTCAGCCACTTTAGGAGTGGAATGAAGGCTGAGATCTTATCTTCCACATTTCTGGATCCTAACACATGGCACTGTGCAGGCATGTGGTAAACCTTTGTGGATACATATTGAATGAATGGATCTGGGGCCACAGTCCCAGTCTCCTAACTCCCAGTCCAGTGCTCTTCCATGCAGAGGCCCAGGCTGGGAAGCAGATGGGAAAAAAGAGGCCAAGTGTCACCTGCTTGTCTTATTAGGGGACGACAGGCAGGCCCAAGGGGGCCACCCTTTCCCACTACAACATTGTCAACAATGCCAATTACATAGGGGAGCACCTGAACATGCACCTGAAGGTAAGGGGATGCTGGCCCAGGCTGACTGGCACCCTGCAGGTGTGGGGAGGTGGGCTTGCTGGGCTTTCCCTGCTGGCTAGAGGAACTAGCTTCTGGGGCTCCTGGCTCCAGGATAGACCCAGCCTCCTGCCTCCATCTCTAGACACCAGAAAAATTGCGGATAATCCTGCCTACCCCCCTGTACCACTGCCTGGGTTCTGTGGCGGGAACAATAGTAAGCATGATGCACGGTGCCACCCTCATCGTGTCCTCTCCGGTCTTTGATGGCAAGAAGGCGCTGGAGGCCATCAGCAGAGAGAGGTGGGCATCAGTGGGCAGCTACCCGCAGGCTCATGAGACCCTCCTAGTCCTCACTCCTGGGCCCTGATCCCTCTCCAAGATGTCTCCTCTCTCCAGCCAAGAGAAATGGAAACAGGGTAGTGGGGCACCCAAGGAGAGCACTAGTTCCTCCTCCAAAGAGTTTCTCCTGCCTGTGCCCCGCAGTTGCAGCCTTGACCCTTACTGCAGGCTCAAGGTGGGGTGGGTGACACAAGGGAGTTCCCTTCTATTTCCAAGCCTGATTTTGAGATGCTACCCCCGCTTATACAGAGGCTCCTTCCTGTATGGCACCCCCACAATGTACGTGGACATTTTGAACCAGCCAGACTTCTCCAGTTATGACCTCTCAACCATATGTGGAGGTAGGATGGGGCCAAGGGTGGCCAGGCCAGGACTGGCCTGGGTAAGCTAGGTATACACCCAATCCTTTACTTAGGGGGCAAGAAGGTCACTGTAGAAACATGAGTGGGAGGGAGGCAAATCCTGAACATTCCTGGACACCAGCCCAAGGTCAGCTGCCAGGTGTAGGAAGCAGTCCAGGATCAGGTGAGAGAAATGAATGTTCTTCCCTAGAAAGAGCTGCAGGCAAAAGGGGTCCACTGGGCCTGGAGAAGGGGAATTGTGTCAGCCCTCTCTCTGATTCAGGTGTGATTGCTGGGTCCTCTGCACCCCCAGAGCTGATCCGAGCCATCATCAACAAGCTGAACATGAAGGAACTGGTGGTGAGTGGTGGCTGGGGCTGGGGCTGGGGCTGTGGGTCGGGGGCATGCCAGGCCTTGGGTTGAGAACAGATGGATGGGAACAGGAGTGAGCCCAGGCCAGATCACCAGGGATGACCCTCGAGGCCCACCCTCCTTTCAGAAAGCAGATGTGAGAAAATGCAATCTGACCTCAGCAGCAGCTGGCAAGTCATGGAGATAAGGAACGGGGAGTAAATATTACACATACATAACTTTATAGAAATCTGGGAAGGAAATGCAGATGGGGGGATATGCGGCAAAGCACCAGTGTCCTGTTAGAGCGCCCTGGCAGGCGGAAGCGGACAGAGTTGGGGTATGAACTTAAGACCTTTTCTTGAAACAAGGGTGGGGCAAGGATCTGATGTTTGTTTCCAAATGGCAGGGAAAGAGAAGCAGAGGGAAGGGGGATTCTGGAAGGGTGGCCATCCTGATGACCAACCAGTTCTGGTTCTGAAGGACTTGGGGGTCTCGGCAACAGCTTCTCTGAGAGGAGCCAGGCAGAGGGGCCAAGTGTGATGGCCCCTTGTTGTGGACCTGGGTTGGTGCTGGAGTGCCCGAGTCTCCCTGCCAGGACGTGTCTAGGTGTGGACAGCTCTGTGCATCAGCAGAGGCTGTGAAAGAAGGCGGGGGTCAGAGGTGGGAAGGTCAGTAGTTTCTCCGGCAGAAGGCAGAGGCCAGTCACCAGGACCAGCTGGGTCAGGACCTGTGGTGAGGCAAGAATCGGTGTCAGGACTCCAAAAACCCAAATGATGCTTAGAGAGAATGGTGGGAGTCCTAGTCAGTGTCATTTTCCCCTTTAGAAGGGAGCCCCAGTCCTCCCTTTCTCTTCCTGCAAAACTAGAGGATCTACATGCTAGGAGTACCCTGGGACACCCTCCTCACTTGCCAGAATCTCCAGAGAGGAGAATGGGGACCTTCCTGTCCTGCACCCACCTGTTTAATGGCGGCCGGCTTTCTTGGATCTCTTAGTGGGGAACTTGCAGCTGCGGAGGGCATCTGTGTCACGGATGTGCTGGCCTTTGAACTTGGCGGGTGAGGCACAAGTTGCATCAGGGCGGGAAGTCTTGGCTTCCAGCCACCTGGAGAGATAGAGAGATGCCGGGGTTGGGGAAGAGATGTGGGAAAGCTGGGAGAAGGGACAGTGAGCCATGAGGCCAGGATTGACTTGGCTCCAGGATAGTCTGAAATTGTCATCTTCATTTCACAAATGTGGGAACTCACAAAGTCCTACACCTATTAGGTAGCAGATCTAGGACATATGCCCAGGATGTCTTAGTGCAGGGCAGTGTCTTCACTGCATCACAGGAGGGTAGGCTTGGGAGGTGGCATGGGGGTACTCTCACCTCCGGAGGCCCCGGAGCTGGCAGGTACACTTCCAGGGGTTGTTGGTGAGAGTGAGGGTCTCCAGGTTGTCAAAGGGGAAGTTGGAGGGCAGCTGGGTCAGGCGGTTGTTCTCCAGATGGACATGTTTCAGCGTGGTCACACCCAGGAAGGCATCATCGGAGAACTGGGGGGCAAGGATGGGCACGAGTGAGCACCCCAACCCCAGTGTCCAGCCTTTCCCAGTTCTATGGCCCCAGAGGGGCAGGGTTCTTCCCGTTCTTTCCTGGACATAAGCAGTGGTACCTTGAGGAGTGTCACAACATGACTAAGTTGTCGCCAATGATTTAATCCATACAACCACCTTTCGAGATAGCTGGTGTTATTTCCAATATACAGATTGGGGAGGGACGTTAAGTCCCTTACCCAGGGTCATACTAGGGAGTAAACAGTAGCTGCAGGACCACACCCAGCTCCTCTGCCCCTGGCACCACACTCCCTGCACAAACACTGTGACTGGGGAGGCAGCCAGAGTTTGGCCCCAGAGGCCCAAGCTGGCACATGGTGAAGCTGGTTAGTGTTTGGTGGGATGGGCAGTGGGCCCAGGCTCCCCACAACCCCATGGTCCTGGGACATCCCCCAGCTCTGTCCTTACTGCTCCCTCACTGCGTGCCAGAAACTATTTGTGGAGCCTCCTTGGTGGAGCCTCCAGGTTGGATGGCTCCAGAGGAAACGTTCTATTGGTGCCCACATCTTAGCTCAGGCGTCACAGATCCTGCCTGGCCTCCCTTGCCCCAGATCGGCCCCTGCTGTCCTGCTCTGCTGCCCACTGAAAGGCTGCTCTGGCACTGGTGGGCCACAGGGGATTCTGACTTAAGCTGGCGAGGGGCCGGACTGAAGAAGGGCAGGCTTGGGCAGGCTCCATCCATGCAGACAAAGGTGGGCTGCCTTCCAGGTATGATTCTGCCCTCATCTCCATGCCTGTGGCCAGGGAGGGGTGTGAAGTTCTCTGGTAACCAGACTATTCTGATGACTGTCTCCCCCACCTTGGCCTGGTCTCTGCCCAAACCTCCTGGCTGAAGTCCCCATACCAGAGAGATTTTTCCATCCCCAAGTAGGGATTCCACCCGGACCCAAGGCAGCCCCACCTGGCCAGGTGCAGGCATCATAGGGGAGGAAGGACTGAAAGAGGTTGCACCCAGGAGATGGGTCTGGTAACTGGGGTGGGCAAAGGGCAGTCAGTGGTCTGACGGACGGTGAGGCACAGCCAGTCTTCCCTGTGGGGAGACACCTGGGACCTATGCCAAAGGTTGTCAGGAGTGTGTGGCTCTTGCCTTTGCCCCTTCCCAGAGCTCATGGGTACCATGCCTGCAACCTGGGGGAGCCTCTGGTCCCCGGTCCCTACTCAGTTGAAACGGACCTAAGAATGCAGTGGAATGTGTGTGTGGACTGAGGAGGGGGCATGGAGGAGATCTTCCTCAGGTATTTGCTCCCCCCGCACTCCCCAGCCCCCAACCCCACCAGAGCACACATGCACGCCCCCCTCCAGGAACAGGGTCTCTTTGTGGGCCTGATTCACCCAGCTCCTCTGGAACGCTCTTCAATAAACAAACCTTCCTTTATGGGGTGGTAAGTTTACTGGAGACACGGGGAAAAAACAGCAGAGGAGGGGCAGAGGCCCAACAGGAAGAGGTGGCTGCTGCCCACAGCAGGGGGTTTGGGAGCACTGGACATGCCTCCTAGGGGCCATTGGTGGGGCCTGGGCAGCCCCAACTCTGTTTATAGGTAGGAACGCTTGGAGGGCTGTGGCTGAGACTAGAGACAGGGGCAGAAGGTCAGGAATGAGAGTGGGGATGTGACAAGATGGACAGAGCTCATCACCTTGGAGCTAGCCAGAGGGACAGAGGCAATTTTAGGGGAGAGGAAATGTTTCCCAGCTGTGCCCCTGGATCCCTGCACCTCCAGGCTGAGAAGAAGGAGCCAGGATAGAGCTCTGCAGCCAGGAGCTCACCTTCTCCAGGTTGGTGTTGTCCAGCCAGAGGGTCTCCAGGTATCTGCCGAAAGACTGGAAGGCATTGTCGGGAATGCTCTTCAGGGGGTTGTGGGACAGCTTCAGCTCCTCCACGACCCGCAGCTTGCTCAGAGCAGCCGAGGGGTAGCTGGACAGCTGGTTCCTGTCCAGGTGGAACTTGGCGAGGTTCTCCACATCGTCCAGAGCACCGGGCTGCAAGGAGCTGAGCGCGTTCTCCGACAGGTAGAGCCAGCGCAGGTCCTTGGCGCCTTGGAAGGCGCCTGCGCGCAGCTCACGGATCTTGTTGTTGTTGAGCTGCAGGATGAAGAGGTTGACCAGTGGGGAGAGCAGCCCCCGGGGCAGCTCAGTCACCTTATTGTGGTCCAGGTAGAGGTAGGTGAGCTCAGTCAGGTCGTCGAAGGCGCCGGTGCGCAGCACGCGGATGTCGTTGTGGGACAGGTACAGGTAGATGAGCTGCTTGAGGCCGCGGAAGGCGCCAGAAGCCACCTCGCGGATCTGGCAGTGTTGCAGGTGCAGCGACACGAGGTTCGGCATGGCCCGAAATGAGTTGGCAGCCAGCACCGGGAAATTGTTGCGCTGTAGGTTGAGCAGTTTGGTCTTCTCTGACACCTTGGGGATCTTCTGCAGCCCCACCTTGTCGCAGATGACGTGCTGCAGGTCGCCGTGGCAGTGGCAGTTCTGGGGGCAGGCGGCCAGCATCGGCAGCAGGCCGGCCAGGAGGCCGAGGCTGAGCAAGAGCATCTGGCGGGCCATGGCCAGGATGCCTGGGGCTGGGCTGGGGGCAGCGGCAGCGACGACGATGGCAGGGTGAGGGCAGCGGGAAGTCCTCGGCCGCTCGGGTCTCCCGCCCTATTTATACGGTGGCCCTGACCACAACTGGCAGCCAAAGCCAGCTCCTACGTGGAGCATCGAGGCCACCGGGCTTAACTCCCTCCCGCCCGGAGATGCGCCCCCGCCCTCCATGGAGAGGGGAGGGGGCCTCTCCCCCAGCTGGTCACCGTGCGGGGCTGAAAGGGTGGCCCTCGACCTCGTCCCCTGCTCTCAGATCTTGCTTCTTTCCAGACCCCTAGCTCCTTTCTCCATGCTTTTTTTTTTTTAAGAAGGGGGGTGTCTAGCGCCCTGAGATTACGCCGCAGAGAGGGAGGCGTTCCATGAACATATTTGTTTGCTCAAGTTCGAGCCTCCATGCCGCCCCCCCATATACACTGGGCCGGGTGCCCTGGACCCGGGGAGGGAGGAAGCCGGGCCGGACAGCCGGACGCGAGTCTCGCCGCGGTCGGCCAGCCGGCGGCGCTTTAATGGGGCTCTTGTGCGGCGCCGGCGGAGCGTGCGAGCCGCCCTGGCGTCGGGCTCCCCCTTCTGGCTAGACACTCAGCCAGCCCCAAGGAGATGGGAGCTCCTACCCCACCTTTGGACTTGCCTTCGGCCCGTCTCCCAACCCGAAACTTGAGTTGCCCTGTATCCACTCTCCCATTTTTCCATGGCTGAAGACTAACCAAAAAAGTCTGTGTGTGTGTGTGTGTGGGAGGGGGTGGTGGATTGTGGGGAGTGACCCACAGGACTTGCAAACACACCTGAAGACCACAAGCACAGAGTCGGGGCAACTGAACAAGCACAGCCCCTCCCCCACACACCCGCCCTTAATCTCCCTAAAATATCCCATCCCCTCATTCCTACCCCCAGTGGTCACGACCTGCCCTTGAGGGGTCTCTCAGGGTGGTGGCCAGAGTGGCGCCAAGATGTACTTGGCACAGGCCACACCTGGGCAGTGGCCCCAGGACTGGGAGGGCAGATGAGGGGGCCCAGGTCCTGGCTACAAGGGACCAGTCCTGGATAGCTCAGGTCCTATGGGCAGCCCTGCTCCAGCCCACCAGGTCTCTGTGTCCACTTGCCAGCTACCGTGTCCGAATTCCTGTGGAAAGAGGATGGTGGGCAGTCAGGGTCTCAGCTCTGGGCTACCTGGCAGGGAGTGTTGCCTGCGTTGGGGTTAGGAGATGAACTGGACCCCTGGTCTTGCCAGACCCCAGTTGAGCCTGAGCTATGCCCGCTGATACAGAGGAAATTGGTGGCAGGGGGAGAGGGGGACAGACAAAGGTCTGGTATCATTGCTGACTGGAGGGGACCTAGAATACGGAGTGGCTAGTCCCTATCTTTTCACTCAGTGCTCAGATGTGGAGTCCTGCCCCTCTCCTAAGCCCCTTCCACCCCATTGCCTCTAGATGAGGATCATACTCGGCCTAGAAGTTCCCTCATGGCACTTAGGCTCCTCTAAGACTGGTTTCTGGTTTTCTGTTGCTCAGGATGTTCCAACCACTGGAATTGGGGAGGGGGGAGAGGAGGTGCCACTGGCTTTTAAAATCCTTGCTTTGGCTGTATTTTTATTTTGATGGAATAAAATTCACAGGAAACTTTCCAAAACTTGAGGGGCACCCATCCCAAGGCTAGGCACTTGTCCCGAGTTTTGGTGGATGGGGCAGGGTAGGGATGGGGATGGGGGGTTGTGTCTGTGTGGCTCCCAGCTGGGCCAAGGCAGGCTGGCTTTCTCATCAAGTTTATGGGACCTTGGGCTTGGAAGGGAGGGGCGGGGGATGTTGTGGCCTGAAATCAGGAAGTGGAGGGGCTAAGGCAGCTTGGGGACGGGAGAGAGAAGGCTGAGTGTGGGTAACACTGGGAGCCACAGGCTGAGGGATGTGGCTGCCCCAGGGAAACAGAGACTGAGAGAGTCCTGGCTAGAAAAGAATGGCTTCTCTGCTCTCAATTGTATTTCACATCTGGGGCCCTTGTTAGTTGAGTTAATCGGCTCAATGTCCCAGCTCCTCTGCCTCCTGACCTCTGATCTCTAACACCTGTGCCTCTCTCCCCACCATTCAGTTGCCCTCCACTTTCCCCTGAGTTCCTCCCAACCCCTCAGGGTAGCTCACGCCATCCCTCTGCAGTCCCCCAGCTCCCTCCAAACGTCCTTTCTGGACCCTCTAGGTTGCTTATGGAACCACAGAGAACAGCCCTGTGACCTTCATGACCTTTCCTGAGGACACTGTGGAGCAGAAGGCAGAAAGTGTGGGCAGAATCATGCCTCACACAGAGGTGAGCCCCACACCAGGACTCCCAGACCTCATCTCCTACAGAGAACCCCACCCTTCCCCACAGAAGGGTCTTCCCTGGGCCTGGCCTGTGGCTTTCTCTGTGGGCTGAGAGGAAGAGCTGAGCAGCAGCCATGAGCAGTCGCCAGCTGAACTTCTCCGCAGCCTCCCTTCCTGTCTGAGGTGTGTTTTTGCCAAGCCCCACTGTCTGTTTCAGGGCAGCCAGGACAGCCTCAAAAAGGAGTCAGAGCACAGAGATTTTTCCTACACAGCTCTTTCTCTCCCATAGGCCCCCCACCCTCACTTCAGCAGAGTTCCTCTTTTTGCTTAGTATAAACACTGAGTTTGTCAAGCAGCCTGTCTCTTTAGGGGTTCCTTGCACTTCATGGCTGACCCAGATCGTCTCTCCCTCCTTTCCTGCTCCAACACTGGTGCTTTATGCCAGCCCTCACCTGGTTTCCTCTGCCCCTTTGTATCCTTGCCCCTCTGGGATCGGGGCCAATGTGCCCAAGCAGCTGCTTCCCTTGGGGCCAACTGCCATCCTGCCTTCCTCCCTGGAGTGAGTGTGTAGTGATGTTAGCCCCCTCTCATGTGTCAGACAGCCTCACTGCCACTCTCTGTGGGATGCCCACCTGTGAGGTAGACAGGGGCCAGTGCAGTTCTCCCCATTTCACAGGTGCAGACACTGAGGCACATAGAAGCTAAGCCTTCCTTGCACATTTGTTGTGGCTCATTTCTCCATTAGGCTTTCAGACTCTTCCTCTCTGCTGCCTCTCCTGTTCACATGGCCCTGCCACGCCACCCTCTTTGGCTTCTCTATTTGCTGCTTAATGGGAAGTAAGAAGACACTCCCTTTTCTTCTGCACAGTTTACAGTTCTTCAGCCGGCCTGGCCTTCCACAGGCCTCCTTCTCTGTGGTAGCTCCTGTGCACTCCACCTCAGCACCCCTGGCCTGGGCCTCACGTGTTTTTGCATGCCCAGCTCAGGTGTCTGATTGGTGATGGGGCCACTCTGGCCTTTGTCTCCCTTCCCTAAATCAGAATGGGCAGAGCCAGGGGGGCCTCATGATTGGGGGGAGAAAAGGCAAAGTTCTCCCCATTTCTCAGGGCCCCCATCCTGAAGTGAGAGGGTGGGAAGCACCAGCCTGAAGCTACCCTGTCTCAGGCCCAGATCATAAACATGGAGACGGGGAAACTGGCAGAGCTGAATACAGCCGGAGAACTGTGGATCCGAGGGTACTGTGTCATGCTGGGCTACTGGAATGAGCCCCAGAAGACTGAGGAAGCAATTGGACAGGACAAGTGGTATCGGACAGGGTGAGAGGACAGGGTGGGGTAGAGGTTTTGGTTGCTGAGGGGAGGCTGGGGGTCCTGAGGTTGAGCAGGGAACATTAAACTAGAAGAGGGAGAACATGTGTGTCAGGATGGCCCCTTCACATCATAGAGACTTCATCTCCACAATGTGTCAAATGGGGATGATCATAGTCAATGCATAGGGCTCATGGAAGGATCAAACGCGGTACTGATGAGAGTGCCTAGGATGGTGCACTACACCAGTATCTGCAGAATTGAAGCCAAGATTCCATCACTGATTTGTTAATTCAACAAATTCTCATGCACCTGCAATGTGCCACTATTTTAGACACCGATGGTCCAGTGGAAAGCAAGATGAGAAGGATACTGCTCTTATTTCCCACATGTCTGGTAGACGGAGACAAATATAAACAGGATCATTTCAGACATTGATCAAAATGAAGAAAATAAAATAGGATCAGAGGAGAGGAAGTGACTGTCATAGGGAGGGGATCTTTTCTTAGACTGGGTGGTCAGAGGCCTCCTTAAGGTGGAAACATTTGAGCTGAGACCTGAATGATAGAAAAGAAGCCAGCCATGGAAAGCATATGTATAGATATGTTGAGAGAGAATGTTGTAGGTATTGGTTTGTGTGTGTCTGCCTCCCACACGAGACTGTAAGTTCCAGGAACTATCTTATTCATGCTGTATCCTCCAGAGTTTAGAGCAGTGCAAGACACATAGTAGATGCTCAATAAATGTTTGATGAATGAGTGAGTGAGCGGGCCGGCTGAGGCAGAAGTGAGAGGCCATTCCTGGCCTTTCCTTGCAGAGACATCACCATGATGGATGAGCAGGGCTTCTGCAAAGTTGTGGGCCGCTCCAAGGATATGATCATCCGGGGTGGAGAGAACATCTACCCCGCAGAACTCGAGGACTTCTTTCACACACACCCGCAGGTGCAGGAAGTGCAGGTGAGGCACCCAATCCGGGTAAGCCCAAGTGAACAGGAAACATGGATGGGGATGGTGATGTCTGATATCTATCTGTGATTCTGGAAGGTGGTAGGAGTGAAGGACGACCGAATGGGAGAGGAAATTTGTGCCTGCATTCGGCTGAAGAAGGGGGAGGAGACTACACCTGAAGACATCAAGGCTTTCTGCAAAGGGAAGGTGAGAGCCTCAACTCACCCCAAACTGATGGTGCTCAGTTTTTCAAACCCGTCTCCCAGCCAACCACTCAGCCCACTGTCCCCTCCCACAACCCTATGACTCCCACCCAGCCTCATGCTGTATCTCCCTCTGGCCCGCAGATCTCCCACTTCAAGATTCCCCGATACGTCGTGTTTGTCACCAACTACCCCCTCACTGTCTCAGGAAAGGTATGTAAGGTGGAGGAGACTAGGGAAGGGCAGGGTAGCTTGGGACCCAAGTGCAGAAGGCCAGGTGGCCCCACCTATGCCGCCCTTAGCCATGGGTAAGAATCTGGCAGTAGGGTGACCAACTAGTCAGTTCATCCTGCCCCAAACTTTCCCAGCTTTATCCTAAGAAACTCCCCAGTCCCAGGCAAACCAAGACAAACCAAGTTGGTCACCCTAGCTGAAAAAGGCCCCAAGCCTCACTCTCATTCCTTTCTCTTTCCTCTAGATCCAGAAATTCAAACTTCGAGAACAGATGGAACGACACCTAAACCTGTGACTAAAGAGGAGGGGGACCCTCCCATACCCTCCCTGCCCTTCCCCCACATTCCCCTAGTCTGTCTTTGTGATTTGGCATAAAGATCTTCTCTGTTTTCTTTGGCTGGTCCCTTGCTGGCATGCTGTCTTGGCAACTACTATGGGAAGGAGAAGGGAAGAGACTAAAGGGAAACTCGCACTTTCAGACCTCCTATTCCTTGTCAACAATGGTGCTAAGCACTTTGGTGTGCATTATCAAATTAATTTACTCCTCACTCAATCCCTTTGGTATCTCAAAGGGATTGAGTGAGGAGTTTTAAGACTATATTCATTTGTTTTTCACATTGTCACCAGACTTTTTAAAGACTACACTAATTTTTTTACATTGTCACCAGATTAGTCCAGCAAGAAGTATTCTTTTTTATAACAGCTTTATTAAGATATAGCTCACATGTCATCTAATTCACCCATTTAAAGTGTACGATTCATTGGATTTTAGTATATTCACAGATATATGCCACCATCATAGTCAACTTAAAACATTTTCATCTCCTTAAACAGAAACTCCATACCCTATAGCTATCATCCCTCATCTCCCTACTTCCCTCATCCCCTCCCCAACCAACCCAATTTTTATATAGTATATATGTTTTCATTGATGAACATGGACTTCCCTGAGGGGCAGAGCCAGATAAATTAGGCTATAGCTGAACCCAAGAAATAAAAACAGCTCCTCCTGCTTGCCATCCTTACCTCTCAATGTGTCTGCCCCCAGCAGCAGTGGCCTCCTCTTTACTTTTTAGAAAATGAACATAAGATTAGGATATTCTGAGTGCCAGACACTATGCTAGGTGCTTTCATGTACACGTTCTCTTGAAATCTTCCCAACAACGCTGTCAAGGAGACATTAGCCCCATTTCACAAATGATGAAATGAAACTCAGGGAGGTTTGGTGTTTTGCCCAAGAGTCATACAGCTGGAATTAGAACCCAGCTGTCTGACTCCAAAGCCCATGATCTTTCCACTTCATGGGACTGTTTAGGTGCCTGCTCTCCTAGCCCTTTACCTGCATCCTGCCTGTATCACAGACACCATCCCTGACTCTCCTCCCAGCAGGGTGTGTGTGTGTGTGTGTGTGTGTGTGTGTGTGTGTGTGTGTGTGTGTGTGTGTGTGTTGGGGGGGTGGGGGGCGTGTTGTTGGCCTGATCCAGGAGATGACAGCCTAGTCTCCAGTCTGGGGTTTTCTGCTGCTTCAACGTCCAGCCCAAGTGCCCTCTCCTCCCTACTGATTCCACCGCCCTTGTAACAGATCGCTCCACATCACAGAGCAGACTGGCCTGGTATCCAGCAGGTGCTGAATTAATATCTGTTGGCTGTTTTCTTTTGTTGGTTTGCCTCTCTCCTATCTTATACACCTTGTACTGTGACCTGGTCTGATGCATCTGGGTTTCCCCAGCGCCCAGCTCTGTGCCAGGCACATAAAATGTGAAGGAATTCATTGAACGAATTAACAATTCCTGGATGGGTCAGGGGGCTCTCCCCCGGACAGGGTGCCAAAAGGTGGGCAGCTCACCGCACAACCTTCTTCCCGCTACGAGGGAAAGGAAGGGCAGGTGCCTGCGGTGAGCGCATCGGTGCCCGGCAGGTGGCGCCGCAGGCCCAAAGCCTCCGGTTCTGCCCGCGCGTCGTCGGACGCGGCGTTCGGTCACGCAGCCCGTCTTCCTTCCGCCCGAACAGCCCACCGGTCCCACCCCGCGCACACTGTGCGCCGTGGGCGCATCTCGACCTCCGATCCTGCCCCACGCACGAGGCGACCAGCCGCAGTATGCGCCATGGCACTCGCGGGGGTCCGGGCCCGCGCCTGGGCGGCAGCGGCCAAAATAGCCCAGAGGCAACGCCGGGCGGAGGGTGCAGAAAGATCCCGGAGTCCGGAGTCCGGGAGCCAGCGCGCTGCCCTTTACGTCCACGTGAGTGGGAAGAGGGAGGCGGAGCTCGGGAGGCTTGGCCGCGCCGGCCGGAACTCATTTACGACTGACTGGTCACGCGTGAGCCCGCCTGCTGATGTTCCCAGTCCCTGGACGAGGTCTTGATTGGGACCCGGTGCCCTGGCAGGGTAGTGTCCGGGTCTGGGGACCTGAAGTCTCTGGTGCTCACCAGCTCGGTGACCTTGACCATGTTATTTGCCTTCTGAATCTCAGTTTTGTCTTAGTGAAGTGGACATAATAACCCCAGTCCGATCTGCCTTGGGGAGTTGTGTGGCTCGATGGCGTAGCCACTGTAGATGGAACTGGAGTGGGGATGGGGAGGGGGATGTGTACGACTGTACCCTGGAACTGGTCAGGGCAGCCCAGGGTTACCTCTCGCCCTGTTTGTACACCCCCCGCCCCCAGTGGCCCTACTGCGAGAAGCGCTGCAGTTACTGCAACTTCAACAAGTACATCCCCCGCGGTGTGGAGGAGGCTGCTATGCGGAGCTGCCTGGTGACTGAGGCTCAGACTTTGCTGCGGCTCAGCGGGGTGCAGCGGTGGGTACTGGAAACTGGAAGTGGATCTTTGGGGAGTGGATAGGACAGGTGCAGATATCCCAGAGTGCTCCCCCAGGTCTCATCTTCTCCATCTTCTTTTGCCAGGGTGGAGTCTGTGTTCTTTGGTGGGGGCACCCCCAGCCTAGCCAGCCCCCACACTGTGGCTGCTATCCTAGAGGCAGTGGCCCAAGCAACCCACCTGCCTGCAGACTGTGAAGTCACATTGGAGGCCAATCCCACTTCTGCCCCAGGCTCCAGGCTGTCAGCATTCGGGGCAGCAGGAGTCAACAGGTTGTCCATTGGCCTCCAGGTAACCCACCTTACCCACCCCATCCCAGAACACCCAGCCCTTCAGTGCTGTCTCTCCTCTAGTCACATTCATTTATTGGGCAAACATTTATTGAGTTCCTTCAGGGTGCCAGGGCCCAGTAGGTACTGAAAAGTGTATGGTGACACTTCGGTAACTATGTCATTGTTTGCTTCTGTGCTGGACCACAAGCTCTGTGGGGCAGGGATCACGCATGCCTTTTTTGTTCATCACATTATTCCAAGCACCCACCTTAGGGCCTGGCACATAGATGCTCAAAAAAGATGTGTTGCATGATTGGAGACACAGGAAGAGGCAAACGGGTGGTCAGATCATTGCAGCATGGTGAAGGGGGTCTCTACAAAAGGCTTTCAGAGTATAGGCTGAAGGGCATCTCAGTCTGATGAAATCATGGATTTCTTCCTGGAGAGGTGATGTTTGAATGAGGAGGAGGAGGAGATCACCAGGGGAGAGGATGTGATAGGGAAAAGACACAGGATGTGGAAGAGCCTTGCATGTTTTAGGGAAGCTGTCAGTCATTCCTTGTGACTGGAGAGGTTGGAGACAAGGAAGCCTTCAGCACCATACTAGGGAGTTTGGGGTTTTGCCTAGTGGTGACGGAAGCTGTTAAAGGTTTTTAAGTAGGGAGAAACATATTCCTCTCAGGTTGACCCCTAGTGTTTGCATATCCAGTATTTTCCCCTCTTCTAATACAGGTACCACTTTACCATAGAGTTTGGGGTCGGGGCCTTGCCTTGATGGGACATACTGAAAAAGGCACATCATTTTTGAGATATTCTGGCCCCAGATGCATATGTGTCTTGAATCTAATTGTGAGGAAACCTCAGGAAAACCTCAACTAAGAGACTGTGTGTGTGTAGTAAAAACAGATAACATGAGATCTATCTTAACAAATTTTTCAGTGTACAGTATTGTTAATTATAAGCACAATGATGTACAGCAGATCTCTAGACCTTATTCATTACGACGCATTTTGAAAAACAGCTGGCTTGTACTCCTCAAAAATGTCAGTATCATGAAAGACAAAGACAAAGGATCTAGTCTAAAGGAGACTGAAGAGACAGTGACAGCTGAGTGCAATGTGTGAACCCTGATTGGATTCTGGATTGAAGCAGGAAGAGGAAATTACTACGTAGACATTATTGGGACAGTTGGCCAAATTTGAATATGACTGTGTATTAGACAATGGCATTATATCAGTGTTACATTTCCTGAACTCTGTAACTGGATTGTGGTTATATAAGAGAATGTCCTTATTGTTAGGAAATACACAGTTAGATATTTAGGGGTAAAAGGGTGCAATCTTTAAGTTAATTAAATTTAAATAACCACTTTGCAAGTACTCACTAGCATGCAGCCAGTGGCTATCATATTCTACTAAAATTGTTCTATATCTACACTGACCACACGCCATTAAACAGTTGGAATGTGATTATTTAAATTTAATTGTTTTAAAATGTAAATAGCCACATGTGGTTAGTACCTGCACTGTAGTGGACAGTGCAGATATAGAACATTTCCATCCTCACAGAAAGTTTTTTTGGACAGGGCTGGTTTTAACTTACCCTCAAATGATTAAACATAATAATAATATGTGAGTATATTTATGGAGAGACCGAGAAAATGTGGCAAAATGTTAATTGGTCAATCTAGATGAAGGTGATGATTGAATTTTTTTTTCACTTCTTCTATAGGTTTGAAGTACTTCAATATAAAAAGTGAAGTGTAAAAAGATTCTTGACTTTGGAGTCAGACCGTCCTAAATTCCAGGTCTGACTTTGCCATTGCATGACCTTGGGCAAGTCACTTAGCATCTCTGAACATCAGTTTTCTCATCTGTAAAATGGAGCCAATGTTGGAGGTTTATAAGAATGAATTAGATAAAAATGCTTGGCACATCGTAACCCTTCAGTGAATGATACCCTTGGTACTGGGTTGACCATCTGCCTTCCAGCTCCCTGCCTTGTTCTGTATTTTTGCCCGTATCTGCATCTACAGGAATGTCAAGTGTTTTTGTTTCCCTCTGAGCTGGGCTGTGCACTTAACTCTGGACCCTCTCTCCCCAGTCCCTGAATGACACTGAGCTCCAGCTGCTGGGGCGGACACACTCAGCCAGTGATGCTCTGCAGACACTGGCAGAGGCTCGGCGCCTTTTTCCTGGGCGCGTATCTGTGGACCTGATGCTGGGGCTGCCGACACAGCAGGTGGGGCCGTGGCTCCGGCAGCTGAAGGAACTGCTGCACCACTGTGACGACCACGTCTCCCTCTACCAGTTGACCCTGGAGCGGGGCACTACCCTCTTCACCCAAGTGCAACAGGGTGCCCTTCCTGCCCCTGACCCCGATCTCGCTGCTGAGATGTACCAGGAGGGACGAGCAGTGCTTAGGGAGGCTGGCTTCCGCCAGTATGAGGTCTCCAACTTCGCCCGGAATGTAAGTCCTGGGGCTGGTGGCAGAAGGTGTGGAGTGGGCAGGCTGGGGCGTGACCTGGGAAATGTGATTCTTTGGGGAGAAGGGTCTCTGCTAGGTGCCTTGAGGCCTGAGGAGGTGGGACATTCTAACCAGGTGCCTCTTACCTGAACAGAAATGGGGCTACTCTCTTTGCTCTGCACTGACTGTTCCCTCCCTCCCCACAGGGGGCGCTCAGTACCCACAATTGGACTTACTGGCAATGCGGTCAGTACCTTGGCATTGGGCCTGGTGAGTCCCCTGTAAACCATAGAATAGATGACTCAGGAATGGAATGTCATGGCTGTGTGATCCTGGGCCACTTATTAACCTCCAAACCTCTATCTATTTCCTCATATATTAAAGTGGGGCAAAAAAAAGGATGCCATAGAGCCATTGAGTGTGTATTTTAAGGTGCTTGATACACTGCCTGGCACTGTGGTTCTGTCTTTAGCGTACATCAGAATTACCTGGAGGGCTTATTAAAACTCAGATTCCTGGGCCCCACCTCCAGAATTTCTGATTGGACAGGTGGGTGTAGGGCCTGAGAAATTACATTTCCATTGGGTTGTTGGAAAAGTCATGACATATTTTTTGTATGTTTTTCGTTGCAAAAATGCATCATGACTTTTCCGACAACCCAGTAGCATATTAGATGCTGTTGGTCCAGGGACCACACTTTGAGAACCACTGACTTAACGTCTGGCAAGCACTCAATGTTAGCTGCTATTAAAGTGGGGGTGGTTGTTGTCGTCAGGGGCCCATGGGCGATTTGTGCCCCAGGAGGCCGGGAGCCACGTTCGGGAGGCTCGAATCCAGACCCTGGAGCCTGACATCTGGATGAAGGAGGTGATGCTGCATGGTCATGGCACCCGGAAGCGCATCCCCCTGGGCAAGCTGGAGCTGTGAGCATCGGAGGGCACAGGGCTCTTCACCCCGGGTTTCCTCGCACCCCCAGAAACACCTCCATGTTTACGTCTTTATTTCCTGCCCTGTTCTGCCCCATACTGCATGTTCCTCATTAGCTCCCCATACACACATCCCAGCATAGGGTTTGAAGACTGGGGGAAGCACAGGTCTCCTTTCCAAGACCCTCTGAGGGTTTTCCTTTCAGGCTGGAGGAAGTTTTGGCCATGGGGCTACGCACAGACGTGGGGATCACTCACCAGGTAAGGGGTCAAGAGGCCCTGGCACACTGCTTTCTACTCCTAAGCTGTGCTGAATCATTTCCTATCTCACGCGCTCCTCCTCCTTCACACACATACGCACACACACATCCCTCCCATTCCTCTGGGACTGGCAGCTGGAGGCTGGGCTTTGGTCCAGCCAAGGCCTCATGGGCAGTGTGGTGTAAGGGTGAGAACCCTAGACTCGGACTGCAGAAACCTGGGCTCCAGCCCCTGTTCTACTACAACCTTGGGCACACATCCTTTCACCTCTCTGAACTTCAATTTTCTCAGCAATAGGGAATAGACTAGATTAAGTGTTTTCAAATGTTTTTAAGCAGCGCTGAAAGCTCAGATAGGAAATGTAATAGAGGATCGATCAAACTTAAAATTGCTCTGGATGAAGTCAGGGCCATAAAGCCCTGGCTGGGGCTGGGTGGGGTTGGGGTAAGGGTTGGAGGGAGACTTGGCTTGGCTGGGAGCTGGAGTTCGACTTGAACATGGACTAGGAGTGAAGGTCCTCACCTCCCTGCTGGCCCATTGGCCTGGGCCTCGTTGCTGAGATCCTTTGCTGGACTCTACCCTCGCTCACCACACCCCCAGACACATGGCCCAGAAGAGCCCCACCAACTATCCACCCATGGTCCCTGCACCTCTGAACCTTCCTGTCTCCCCAGCACTGGCAGCAGTTTGAGCCCCAGTTGACCCTTTGGGACGTGTTTGGAACAAACAAGGAGGTGAACACGTTGTTGGAGCAGGGCCTTTTGCAGCTGGATCACGGGTGTGTTGGGGGTCGGAGGGTGGTTAGGAATCTTAGAGATCCCTGACTACAGATCGCATACCCGGGAGAAGCGAGAAAGACCGAGGAGGAGGGGCCTGTGGGTTCTGGGTAACACTGGTAGAGGGTAGGGATTGAAATTGGTGAGATGAGGCAGTCACATCCAGGCCTCTCGGTTTTCCAGGGGTCTTCGGTGTTCCTGGGAGGGCCTGGCTGTGCTGGACTCACTGTTGCTGACCCTGCTGCTTCTACTCCAAGAGGCCTGGCAGCAGAGAGCCCTCTCCTCTGTGCCAGGAGGATGACCAGGTGTTCCTGTACCTGAGGACACTATACCAGGTGGGCTTGGGGGCTGGGCTGACACTGCAGACATTTCCCCTGGCAGGAGGCATCTCAGCCCTGGTCATTGTAGCATCCCCAGGAGACCAGCTAGTGAAGTGAGTGGTCTTTCTGGTCTGGGAACTGGCATCAAGTGCACCCACCACTGCCAGAGAAGGAATGGTGGTTCCTGTGAGTGCTTCTCACGAGTGGCCTCTAAAGCAAATCCTGGCTGGCAAGAGATTCTGAGGAATGTCCCTCTCAGGCCGCCAGCCCCTATAATACAGGACGGGACATAGAAGGAACTGCGGTATGCTGATGGACCCATGCGTATATCCAGTACAGTGGCCTGCTGGACCCTGAAATCAGCGGGAAAGCTCAAAGCAAGCCTTGTCCCTTCCCTTTTGGCAACCAGGATATGGTTGGGGTGTCAGGAACCTCACAGACCCTCCTGAGTCCTCTCTCCCAGTCCCCTGTCCCCTGCAGCCTTTTCCTTGAGAGAGTGAAGGGTGGGTGGGGGGAGCAAGCAGGGAAAGGGGAGAGGAGAAGAATTCAGAAGAGACCCCGAGTCTGGTTAACTCTCCACTGGCCTTTTACTTGCCGTAATGGTCACCTGGTTTTATTTAAATAGCCTAATAAGACCATCTGGAGCCTGCCTTGACTGTGGTCCTTTCCTTTGTCCAGGCTCCTTCTTAAATTGTGGATTTGGGGACTAGAGGCTAAGTCTAAGCTGAGATTTCTTCCTGTTCCCTGACAATTATTTACCCGATGATTGAGCATCCATCAATGCTCCTTGCCTAAATCAGTGATTAGATTGGGGTTTTTGCAAAATGTTCATTTCTGACTTTATTTTTCCATCTATATTCATTAACTGAATATCTGTCTAAAAATAAGTTTCCCTTTTTGAAGGGCCGATACTCTTAATCCAGAAATTATATGCAGGGTGCATGTGTATGTGTGTGAGAAAAAGGCATCTTCCTGTGAGGAGGCTTCATAAATTTTCAGATCAAAGGGTACTGTGATGCCAAAAGTAATTTAGTGCTGCTGCAAATCGGGGCATGCCAAGCTCAGCCTCTAGCTAGCTGGGTGATTAACGATGGGGCTTTTCACCCCTCAGAGGTGAGCACGTGCATTTCCCGTGTGCCTAGTGGGTGTGAATGTCAGTCCTTCTGTGACCCTGTGGTAACGTGGTAAGTGTTACTACCTCTCATTTATTCATGAAATATTTAGCAAGCACTACTGATGTGCCAGGCACTGTGCCGGGCACACAGAGAGGAATAAGACCTGTTCCAGCCCTCGAGGAACTCACCGCCATGTTGATAGATGTGTAAAGAGATAAATGTCAGGGTTATCAGTGAGGGTATGCAGGCAGACTGTGGAAGCCTGCGGCGCGTTTGATTCTGGGGCTGGGAGCAGAAAGGGGAATATGTTTTTCTTACTACCTCCTGTGGCCCTAGGGCAGTTTGTAGGGTGACCTGTGCTGCCTGGGAGAGCCTCTTCCTGTGCCTTCCCCTGATCTTGATATTCAAGAAGTGAGCACGGGGCCGGAGCCGGTGCACCATCAGATAACCTGGGCCCACTCAGGTTTCTCCCAGCAGCCAGGGCTCGTGCCACCTGAGATGCCCAGGCCCTCCCTGCTGGGGCACCTCACGAGGCCTATGCAGACAGCCTGGATAGAAGCCAGGGCCAAGTGGGGGTGGCATGGATCAGTTTCTGTGACTCAGCCTGGTCCCACCCTCCTCAGGTGAATCAGAATCTCCTGGAGGCGGAGCCCAGGAATCTAGTTTTTAAGTGCTTCCTAAATGGCTCTAATAATCAGGCCAGTTTGGGAAGCCCTGTCATCTCCTGCCTTCCATCCTGGGAGGCTGGGGTCAGGAGGAATGACGGGGACACAGCTACTTGCAGACATGACCCAATGAAGGGGGGTCCTTCGCTCTGCATCTAGGCCTTCCATGGCCCATCCATCAAAGGGCTTCTCCTTCATAGTGAGACTTTTATTGTCACTTTTTACCTGCCCTACTAAAAAGCACATGAACACAATTAAAAGGGGTGAACAAGCTACTTTGGTGATGAGAGGAGTTGAGGGAAATGTAACATGTGTGGGTGTGTGGTTACAGCACGAAGGACCAACCTTCTGTATGCGAGACCACTAAATTATAAAGCCCTATAATTGAGGGCACCCTCCCCCCGCCCCTCCGCACCAAGTAGTATGAAGTAGGCAGGGCAGCTATTATAATTTCCATATTACATATGGGGATATTCAAAGAAGCCCTCTAACTGGGCTCTAGTCATATAAGTAAGTAGCTGACCTGGTACAACGCTTATGAACATCCAGAATTGTCTGTTATATCATCATATTATACTTACAGTGGGTCCAGGTCAATTGACCTATCTCTTAAATTAGGCAGAATCCTGACCTCTCTCTCACTCCTCTGCCTCAGGCTTGAAGCTGCCATTTTGGCCTGGTGTTGGGTAGCTTGGATTTGGTGTCTGTCTTTTCCCTCCAGAAGAGACTCGACAGTGAGAACCCATGTGTCCCATCTCCGTGAGACCACCCACTTCCTGGGACAGACCTGCATTCTGCAAGGAAAAGGCCTTTAAATAATAAGATTGCCACAGACTGAATGTTTGTGCCCCCCAGAATTCACATGCGGAAATCTCATCCCCAAGGTGGGGCCTTTGGGGGTGATTAGGTCATGAGGATGGAGCCCTCATGAATGGGATTCGTGCCCTTATAAAGGAGACCTCAGGGAGCTCCCTCTGTCTTTCCACCACGTGAGGACTTGGAGAGAAGACAAACATCTATAAACCAGGAAGCAGGTTCGCACTAGATACCGAATCCTGCTGACACCTTGATCTTGGACTTCCCAGCCTTCAGAGCTGTGAGAAATAAATGTTCGTTGTTTAAGCCACCCAGTCTATGGTATTTTTGTTATAGCAGCCTGAACAGACTAAGACAAGGATGAAATCACTGGTGTGGTTGATTGTATTATTGCTCAGAATGTTTACCACCCTTCCTTGAGTGCCCTCCCCTGAGGTCCTGTTGGGGATTGATCTATCCCAGCCCTCTTTTTTTTTAAAGTTTACTGGGGTGACAATTGTTAGTAAAGTTACATAGGTTTCAGGTGTACAATTCTGTGATATATCATTATATCACATTGTGTGCCCACCACCCGGAGTCAGTTCTCCTTCCATCACCATATGTTTGACCCCCTTTACCCTCTTCTACCACCACCCACCCCTCTTACCCTCTGGTAACCACTAAACTGTTGTCTGTGTCTGTGAGTTTTTGTTTCTTCATTTGTTTGTCTTGTTCCTTTGTTGTTTTCAGTTTTATATCCCACATATCCTTGCCCTCTTAAACCCAAGAAGGACCATGAGACTTGCTCACACTGACTGTAGGAGCCAGTGGGTAGTCCACCGTCTTCTCTCTCTGCCAAAGAGACCTGCAGTGTTCACATAAAGATTGTGTCATCAGCTTGGGTCCTAGAGTGAAGAAGATGTTGGGCATAGGAGCAGCCAACCACAGCGACGTGAGCAGGAGTGAGAAATTCATGCTTACTGTTGTAAACCAGTAAATTTTCGGGTTGTTTATTACTGCAGCATAATTGAAACTAAATTGACCGATACAACTTGTAATCCCACCACTCAAAGATCAGTCACTGTTACGATTCTGGTGTGTATCTTAGCAAAAGTTCTTAGATGCAGAGGAACATATTTAGATACACAATCTTAACAAAAAATGAGATAATAGACATCTTTCTTTGGAGCCTTCCTGTCCTAGCTACTATATGGTGGGCATCCTTTCATGTCAAATTTATATCTACATCCTGTTTTTTTAGTGGCGCTTCATAATACACCACTGCATGGTTATGCCAAAATATTAGTTTATCAATTCCTTTTTGGTGAAACTGAGGGTTTAATTTTGATTTTTATAAACTCTGTGGTGATCATCTTTTATAAATATTTTTATGCACTGGCTTGACCATTTCCTTGGGTTTAGAATAAATCCCAAGGAATGGGATTGCTGACTGAGGATACTCACATCCTTTATTTGGATACACGACGCCTAGCTACCCTCCAGGAAGCCTGCCTCGAGGCTCTTGCCAGCTTGCTAGTGCTCATTTCTCTATAACCTTGACAGTAGCAAGCATGATCCATTTTTCCAAATGATTCCAATCTAAAGAGCACTCGTAACCCTAGTTTTACCATCAACTAATCAACTGCCTCCCTAACTCTGGCAACCACTTTGTCCATCTGAGCACTCCAGCCAGAGAGCAAAAAGGACACAACCTCTGGGGCCACCCAGCTAGAAGACCAAACTGGAAGTGGTTGCCAGCTGTGTTGCCTCTGAAGTTCTCTTATCCAGACCCCTCCCCCCGACCCCCCTTCTGGGAGAATCCCAGATCTTCCTTCTGTCTTCCCCTGCAGGGATTTTTAGAGCCAATTTTTTTTAATCACACAAACAACAGTTTAGAAATAGAATTCTAAATGAAAAAGAAATAAATCACCCATAACTAGCAGCCCCAACAAACTAAACTCGTTTTATTTGTCCATGTTCCCTTCTAGTCCTCGTCCAAATGTATGCAGGATTTTTGCCCAGCTGTGCTCCTGGCACAGATCTAATCTTGCATTCTGCCCTTTTTGCTTCTCGTTCTGCCATAAACATTTTTCCATATTGTTACATGGTCATCATCATTTTCATTTTAATTGTTGCACAATGTTCCAATCAGTGATTGATTTAATAACTATTACCCTAATGTAAGTCACTTTAAATGGTTCCCCATTTTCCTCTATTATAAATAATGCTGCAGTGCATATTTTTATGGATATAGCTTCTTTCTTCATTTGAGTTATTTCCTTAAGTTGGTTCCCAAGAGATAGCTAGGTCAAAGGGTATCAATGCTTTAATAATTCTTGGTGTGAATTGTGACACACCAAAGGGTTTTTCTTTTTTTTTTAATTTTCCTGCTCAAAAATAATTTTTTCTCTTTTTCTACCATATAGAAGAAAGAAAAATTCTACCCAGAAATTATCATTACTAACATTTGGATAACCATCCCTTCAGACGTCTCTTGATGCATAGATATACATATAGATGTAGAAATAAAAGTAATTTTTTCACAAAAGTGATCATACTCACGTGCCAGTTTACAACCTGGCACGTCTTTTTTACTCAACATTTCCTGAACTTTTCTAGTTGGCTCTGCGACCACCAGTGCCTATGTGGTAGCATAACGTAGTACAGTAATAGCTGTAAGCCAGGCACGTGCCACCAATGTTATCTGCCTTAGTTCCTTTAAGCGCCACAACAACCCAATAAGTCCTATTATTATCATGCACATTTTGCAGATGAGTAAACAGGCTCAGAGAAATTGACTGCCCAAGGTTACGTAGGTAGGATATAGTGGGGCTGGCACTCAACTTGAGTTCTCTGGGGCTCCAAAACAAATGCTTATACAAACAATATATGAATATGTTCTTATGGTAAAACTAATAATAAATGCAAGCAATACCATAGCATAGAAAGTAAAGTGTGAAAGTTCCCTTTATACTTCCACAGAGGTTTGATGTGTGTATCAATTAAGTTTAGGTTTAACTGCATAGGACAGAAAATCAAAGTAACGTAAGCTTAAATTTCTTTATTTTTCTTCCCCATAAAAGAAGTCTGGACAAAGTATTTCAGGGCTAGCGTGGTGGACCCATTCTCGTGGGTCATGAAGAACTCAGGCTTCTGTCTTTATGCTCTGCATCCTCAGTTCATAGCTTCCATCCCTAAGGTCTCCACCTGGTTTAATATGGTCCCTGGAGCTCCAGCCATCATGTCTGCATTCCAAGCAATAAGAAGGGGAAAGGCTAGAGGGGCATCAGTGTGTTTTTCCCAGCCGAATCAGCCATCTCTAAAGCACTTCCTGAAATCCCCCCCGCTGCATTTCCTTACTTCTGAAAGCAGGGGCCATGCCTTCTTCAAGGTTATTATAAGGTTGGTAATGATGGGTGGATAGATGGATGGATGGGAAGAGCCTAGTGCAGTTCCTGGCACTGACAAATGCACATTTGACAAATGTGGTAGTTATTACTATTAGTGTTTTTATTGTGATTTACAGTGCCCTGGGCATGCTAGCCCTAAAGAAGGCAGGTCCCAAACAGGAATTCCTAATGCCTGACAAGACAGAGAAACCTGTTCTTTCGCTGTGATACTGAAACTTGTCAGTAGGTAACCCTGGGCTTCTGGAAGAATTTCCCGCCGGCCCAGTATAGAACTTGCCACCTCTCGGGTAGCTGGGAGGGTGGGTGCCACAGGGCAGACTGACAGCCTCCAGGCAGCAGCACCCACAGTGGAAGGAAGGGCTCCTCACTAGGTGATTCCTCATACCAGCACTCCTTACTCTTGCTCATCAGGTCGGACAGGAACGGCACCATTCCTCTGGTGGCTGACCTCTGCAAGCAGGGACCACCCCACCTGCCTCCCAGACCCCTGACACATGGGACACACACCCAGCGTGTATCTTTCCTTTGCCCTCACCTCCCGATTAGGTCTCTCATCCTCCTCTAGACCTTGGGCCTTCTTACCTTCATTCCTGCTGTCCCTGACTCAGCCTGGGGCTCCCCCCTGCCCTTGAACCTGACCAACTTACACAGGCCTCACTTGCTTTGTTGACCTTTCTTACAGTGATTAAGACCACAGTGAGAGGCCAGAGCCCCTGAGAGTCTTGGCAGCACCGATGAGGGACAAAATGGACAGGGCCTCAGCTCAAGGGAGCTGCTTTAGATCACTGAGGAAGTTGCTGTGGAAACGCCCTCTCCTCCCAGTCCCCACCCCAAACTGACCTTACAGATTAATTTAGGAACAATATAAAATGAACTACGAAAACTGTCGAGCAGGCAATCCTGCTTGAACAAGGCCTGAAGGTTCAGGGAGAATTTAAGAACCCTACTCATGCACATCAGGTTGAGCACAGGAGCTGTGAATGGTTCCCACCTGGGCCCTGGAGTGTGAGTGTTTTTATTTAGATCCCAGCTCTACCTCTTGTTAGCTGTTTAATCTCAGGCAAAGTACTTAACATTTCTATGCCTCAGTTTCCTCATCTGTAAAATGGGGATGCTATTGATATTTTCTGTCTCATGTGGTTGTTGTAAACTTTCAAGAAGTTAGCACATACAACTAAAAAAAACAAAGAAAAGTATATAAATTAGATTTCATCAAAATTTAAAACTTTTGGGGCCGGCCGAGTGGCGCGATGGTTAAGAACTGGCTTGGGATGCCAGAGGGCCCCGGTTCGGATCCCACATATGAGGGCCAGTGACACTGCCCTCCACAGCTGAGATGCTGAATAACAGCTCAACCTGGAGCTGGGCTGCCGTGAGTCGCCGGCGACGGCGTAGGCTGCAGCCCCTGTGGCAGTGGGTTGCCATGGGCTACCGTGTGTAGCCAGCAGCCAGCGTGAGCGGCCAGCAGCCAGCGTGAGCGGCCAGCAGCCGCAGTGAGCGGCCGTCCAGAAGCCGGCGACTGATCTGCCTCGCCCGGGAAGAGCACAATGATGGTGCCAACTTGGGCCAGTGAAGCAACGTCCTCCACAACTAGACTGAAGAACAAAACAACAGCAACTTGTCTGTTCCCCTTCCCCCAATTCCCCAGCACTGTTCCCATCCCCCCAACTCCCCAATAAAAAAATCTTTAAAAAAAAATTCAAAACTTTTGTGCATCAAAGAACACAGGAAAGTGCAAGGAAACCCCGCAGAATGGGAGAAAATATTTGCAAATCTTACATCTGATAAGGGTTTCATATCCAGCATATGTAAAAATGCCTACAATGTAACAACAAAAAAGGTAAACAACCCAATTTAAAAATGGGCAAAGGATCTGAATAAACATTTCTCCAAAGATTTACAAATAGACAACACAAGAAAA